TACAATAGCAATGCGTCCTGCCCAGCAGCTTGAGCCCTACGAGTACCAGGTGCGAAATGGGCCGACAGATATCAGAAAGCCCGATGCCCAAATTCAGGCCTTCAAAGCGCAAATACTTTCTGAGGCTCCCGCCAAGGTCAGCCCTGCCAGCCTGCAAGCCAGCAAGTCTCTTGGCAATGTCAGCGTCGGATGGTGAAGTTGACCGTGCAAGGTTAATGTCATCAATTCTCCGCAGGATGCTTATGGCCTGCAACAATTTGAGCTGCAGTGCTGTGCATGTGTTCTGGCACTAATTTCTCGGTTCGCATAATATCTTGAACCTCCGAAGCTCCACTCCCAAAAAAATCTACAGAAGAGGACAGCTGCTTACATCTTCAGCTGCTCTCAAGTACATCAACATCCCGTGCCTGGAGGCTGCTCCCGTCCCTCATCTCTTGACCCCGGATCCTAGCAAATCTGGGTTCAGGCGCCGAAGCTCGTTGCTCACGCTCCAGCTTGCAACGTGCAACTCTCATGCTGTATGTGTCAGCTGCTCTTGTGCAGAATCAAGTGACCCGGAGGCATGTAGCTGAGAGCACAGCTCTGCTTGCATCCCGATGCTTCAGCAAGAGAACAAGAATTTGCTTTGACGTGGTTAATGACTGAAGACAAGCTGTCCTGCCCGCGTCCAAGGGAGACTGGCTTCGATCTCCGGCTCGCGGAGAGAAGCTGCCGACCCGGCGATCCTGTGTCAATTGCTTGGAATGCCAGCACTTGACACCAAAAGGATGAACTGCACCTCTGCTTCCCAAGACTGAGGAGACTGAGGAGACTTGTCGGCACTTTGCTCAGAGCTGTCGAGCCTGAGACTCAGTACAGCTGAACAAAATGCACAGTGACAACTTTCGATGCCATGAAGCCTTGCAAATGGAAATGGCGGTGGTTCGAGGTCTTCGTGGTCATTCCTTGACCTTTTTGTCTCCAAACTGCAACCCAAACTGCAAGCAAAGGTTGCGAAATGTTGCGAAGCCTGGTGCGCGTAAACGGAGCTCGCTGTGTTGGAGAGATGGGAGTGTCAGCCTGGTGGCCGGAGTCGCAAAAGAAACTAATGATCTTGTGCGGCCCCCTCATTCTCCTGATTTTCTGTTACCATAATGGGTATGTATATATATATATAGATATATATAGGAAATAATAGGGTTTCCCCAATATAGTAACTTAATTTAAGTTCCTTAACAGCAACCCAGTTTCTGGAAGCTCTGCCTTGGTGTCTTCACCGACGAGCCCTGCCATCTTCTCTGGCCAGGTCCGGCCTGGGTGGCGACACCCGTTGTGATCTTCCCTCAGGCATTTGGGTGGTTGTCAAAATTATGGTCCCTTTTTGGGTCCCTATCATAATACGGCCCCTAATATTTAGGGTTCCCAAAAGGGGACCATAACTTTGACAACCACCCATTTGTGAATCACCAAGTTGAAGAGGTCTCGGCATCGACAGGTTCCCGGAGACGGGACCCTGCATCAGTTCTGAGCCAAAATGTGCGGAAATGAGCCGGAATGGGCCAATTCTGCTGGGTAGTGGCTAACCATGGCCAACCGAATTCATCTTCAACCATACAAGACCTGCGAAGCAAGAAAAAAGCTTCGGGCACAAAAACAAGCGCGGGAGATGGAGCAGGAGCAAACCCTAAACCTATATAACCCCCATATAACCGCTCTGATCGCTATAATAACCCCTACCACAACACTTCTACAAAAAAAGCGAAAACGAGGCTAACCGACTAATGGTCGATCAAAGCAAGGTGCGACTGGCCGCCCTTGGGGGCAGCAAAATTCTAAACTCCTTAAAGGGGTTGTTTTAGGGGATCATGTAGGGGACTACACTGGGGACTACTATAGGGGTGATTAATGGGCATACTAGGAGTTTCATGTTCTTTTTTGTTCATACAGACATGGCGAAGCCGAGTGACCCTTCATCTCCTAGATCCTGTACATCCTGTCCGGAACTTGTTGAGGGCAAGAAAACTGTTTGATGTTCCCTTCCCTTTGATTCTCCATTATTAGATACTAACAGCTGTGCAACCCTGAAACTCTCTGAACCCTGGCGTCTACGGGTTTACACCCGAGTGTCCGGGCGCTCTACTTGGAGCGGCAACGCATTCAGTGGGATTACTATTAATATTACTACTACTACTACTACTACTGCTACTGCTATTACTATTACTATTACGATAACTACTATGCTTACTATTCCTGCTCCTGTCACTCATCCTAGTACTAGTACTTCTGTCATACTTCTGTTCCACCACCACAACTGCACAACTGCGATCGCAACTGCTATTACCACTGCTACTGCTGTTACTCTGGCTACCGCTATTACTATTACTATTGCTTCTATTACTACCGTTGCTAGTACGAGTACTGCAGACAGCCGCGCCTTTTGCAGATCGGGACTGTCAGCTGAAAATCGTTTGTGTTCGTTACTCCTGGCAGCCCCAGATGTGGGCTCCTACCCCGCTCACCAAACGAGAGAATGAGAGACTCGGGATGTCTGTCAGGCTGCTAAGTATGTATCCAACAAGGAGATTTCCAAAGTCTATGCTGTTCTTTCTGGTCCGAGGGAACTTTGTGGGCATTCTGTGGATGATGAACACCACGCTCTCTCATCAAACACCTGCGAGCCTCCACAGCAACACCTTTGCATCAACGGACATCGTGACCGCTCTGGCTTCTCCCTAGTAGTGCCTTTTACATGCAGGGAACAGCACCTAAGTTGGTCACTGCAGTGCAAGCATCCTGTTCCGAATGAAAGGTTTTTCACTTCGAGACCCTCTCATCTCCGAGGTACTGCACACTTTGGCATGACTTGATCGGGCTGAATTGCTCAATGGCTGCAAGCATACCGACCACCCAATCACAGCAATAGTACCAGTGAGGGGCGCAGCAAAGAGCGACAAAGCCTTCATGTGCGCGTTTCTGATCCCCTCTTGGAAACTTTCCGTAGTCTGAAAGCTTCTGAACAACATATCAAAAAATCGCGGGGACCCCAACATAGACCCCAAAATACGATAATCCCTATTCTGGGGACCCTTAGAATATAGGGAAATGCCCAATATATCCAAAGGTCCGCAATAGTTCCGTTCGCCATCAAGGCAGGTAAGTGCCGGGGACATGTCCAACGTCTGGCGAAGCACCAGCAGAGCAATTCGCATCGTAAAGCAACACAACATGCGCTTTCTAAAAAAAGTGCGGAGAAAGCCTAATATGTCCTGCCTTGCTCCTTGTTGGGATATGTGGTCCCTGAATAACTCTCCTTTGTAAACCCCCTGAAGCATACGATCCGTACATGACCCCCAAGATCCATGCTCATGCCGCACATTCATGTGATGTTACAGACATATGGGAGAATATATATATATATATACATATAATCATCCTGTAATCGCTGCACAACCCTCGTATTCTCTGAAGGACCCCCATTTTGAGACACTCCCAAATCCAGAGACACCAAAACTCCCAGTTAAATAAAGAGGAGGGGCGCAGAAAGCCACTATCTAGTTGCCAAATCGCAGGGAGCGGTAGTTTCCAAAACTGCGGGGCCCAGAACGGCATACCTTCGATCCTGACACCTTGGGGTCAAAGGTTTATGCTGGGTCCGATGTAATACTGCAAGTCCCTGCATAGAAGAGCTTCCCAACAGGGCCCCTTGCGTTTGGATACTCCCAACTCATGATCAGCTTTGAGACACTCGCCCGGCTTGGGCTTCGCCCACAGAAGCTGAAGAGGCTTCAGTGCTAATTTGATTCAGGGTGTAGCCTTTAGGGTTTATTAGGGCTCGGCACTTGTTCTTTGTATTCAATTTGTAATGTCTGGGGTCTTTGGGGGTGGGCTTTAGTCTGAGCTCTAGGGTTTAGGCTGTACGCTTCATTTTGCTCCATTTCCGTGCTTCAACTACTCTGGCTAGGTTTTGCACGTTTGCTTTTGAGTTTTGAACACTACAAATATGCAACATAATGAAAAGCTGCATGTCTCGTGACAGCATGTTTTGACAGTTGTCATTGTCGCGGTGACAATGCAACATTTGCAGTCACAGATGATAAAGAATGGAGCTTCTGCTGAAAACACTACGAGGCCCAAAGGCAAACATACACGGTAAGCCAATCCACTTGACATCAACAAGCATTCTAATCTCAGTAGCTGCGGTGGAGATGAGACTGTCAAATCTTATGGGTTGCAATCCGAAAACAAAATCATGGGGTTTTCGGCATCCTCCCTTCTCCACTCCTCGTCCTCCTCATCGTCTTCCTCCTCCTCCCAGGGCCCAGCTTTCCAAGTTTGTGTTCTCGGGAACCTGCAGGCAGTTGAGAGACCAGTGCTACTGTTGGAAAAATAGGCTTTGAGGTGAGCCGGTTGCTTTCACTTGGCCGTGGCCCGCAAAGAGATGACACTCCAATCATAACAGTCGGCGATTTGAGAGAAGGCTTCGGTAGGTTTAGGGCTGACTGGGGTGGCAAGCCCGCAAATGGACGTGAAACCCCAAACCTGCCTTGCCCGTTAACGGATTTTGCAGGATGCAGTGCGGTAGAAGTACATTAAAGGCCCTCTCCAAATAGAGCTGCAGCCTACAGCAGATGGTAAATGTACTCCATGACACAGATGGCAACTGTAGCCGTGCCATCCCGTAGTCCCTTCAGCTTCTGAGACTGGGCTTTCTTTCGCGTCACGGCCGCTCCGCAGGCTTTGGAGCTGCCAGTCTCTGCTGAGGTGCACCGACGTGCTTTTAGAGTCGTTCACGACTCGGGCTCTATCTCATGTAAGTCTAGGAGTCTACGAGTGGGAAAGAGTCACCGTATCATGACAAAGACGGACCTACGTACATACTGCGCAAGGCCTGCATGGTATGCAGTGACCTTCGCGCTGGAGGCATAGAGAGTGTCATGTCAGCTTTGTCTTCTTGTGTCTTTGAGTTCAGGCCTAGTGACCTAGCGCAATCATCCGGCTGAGTACAAAACTTCGCACGACGCTCATTGGGGTGGCTGGCCACCAGCTGGCTCAGGCAGCACGTGCATGAGCATGCCGAACCTGAGACGACAAAGCAGCGTGTCACGTCATGGCATCCCCTGGTTCTGTAGGTAGACGAGAGGTGGGATACCGATGGGGTTGCAGAAGATCGGAGGAGAGCAGAGAGAGGTAATAGTTCGCTTTTGAACTGCCTTCTTGCGCGCAGATGGGCTTGAAATGTCGCATGATGGGCCAAGTACACGAATAATACCTACATTCGACTCCAAAGTCTGCAAATATTACCTACATCGTGCATTTGGATTCTTATAGGGTCAAAATCGCTGAGCAGCTTGTAGTCACCACGGCCGTAGTCAATCATGCCGCTGAAGCCAAAGCCGCTGATGTCCGACACGCTGCAGCTCAGTTTGCCTATCCCAGGACATATTGGTATTCATGTCTACTTATTTGCACATGTCTGCATATGTAGATGCCTATGCATGTATACATATATCGCATACATGTTTGCGTGGATGGGCATATATACTTATACATGTATATTCATCTATGTACATACATGTATCTACACACACATCGTATACAATTGTATGCATATCAGTACCTAGCATGGGCATGCGACACAGTGACGGCCCCTCTTTCAGGGTCTGCACATGGGCTTCCATGTCTCAAAAAAGGGTAACTCTTGGGGATCCTAGGGGCAAAAAGGAATACAGAATACAGGCCAGTGATAAGGGTCCCTCTTAGGATCTTAGGGGATTCTGTATGAACATATCCCTGAGCTTGGGAAACCCCAATACCTTTAAATCCCTATATAAGCCCCTCTATCATCCCAATTTCCGTTTGATTTTTCCACATTCTTTTCCCAATGTGATTCTCCTTTATTGGGGGGATTGTCTTGAGAAACTCCCCGATGTCTCCCAGCAAGCCAAGCCAGCTGCCGTCTGTGTCCACCAGGCCCTGGATGCGTGCATTCCTGCCATTGCTGGACTCTCACACTCTCACTTCAGAGGGGCCCGCGCTACCTAGGCCTTCAAAGTAGGTAGAATCATGGCCCAAAACCCTTAAAAACAACAGAGGAGGCTGCTATTCTACTTCTGCTGGGGTGGGAAGACCCCACAAAATGACCGCTGTGCAGAGCGTATCGATCTTCACAATGCACAATGTACACGGGTGCCTATCTGCTGTTCCCTCCGAACCCCTCGCCTGAAAAGGTACTCGTAGGCCATGGAAAGGCCTGACTCCTGCTGTCGAGTGCCACAGATTCGTGAAGTCAACTTTAGCTCAACGACTCTTGGCTGGGCGAGAAAACCATCCAAAACAAGAACACTGAACCCGTAATCCTTCTTTTTCTGCTTTCCATGTATGCATATATGTATATAGGACCTAGCAGAGCATCAAGCACTCTTCTTGTCCCGGAAAGTGCTCTTCAAAGATGCTGCACAATGCACAAACTTGATTTCAGGTGCGAAAACGGCTAGCCTAGCTGCTTTGGTCTTGACAATCCCTTTCCGCGCTTCAGCAGATCTGCTGCGTGCTGGGAGCTCAGCTTGCCTCCTGTCACTTCCTCAAGCCCAGAACAGGCAGACGGGCAAATGAGTGGACAATCGTTCGGAGCCTAGAAACGAGGGCTTCATGAAAGGCAGTGTGAGCCGTTGAATGGTCAGAAGATGAGATGAGTCCCCACGCTTGTTCTCCTGTCTCGCACAATCTGCTATGATGTGACGAGGCTGTTATTGCACCCGCGGATTGGGTCCGTCTTTCTTGCTTGTGGCCATGCCGACTGATAGATGCTCGGTCATGACGCTTCAAAGTACATATTTGAACCCTACTATAGAGTAGTAGTTTCCATCTTCTCTTCCATTATCCCTATACATCCCCAATATATTCCCTACTAACCCTACACCCTACATATTTGTATGTTCGCTTACGGCAAGTTTTGACATCCCATCCTTGTCTGGATAGGAGAACTTGTACTCGGTTCCGAGGCTCAGCCTCTCAGTAACCTTGCGCACCTCAGCCCAGTCTCCAGCCTGAACTGTGGATCCGTAACATGGGCCTTCGATCTCAGAGCCATATCTTGTGTGCATCTGCTTCCGGATGGGGATGTCTCAAATTCTGGGTCTAGTTCGAAGCAGGATACCACCATGGCGAGGATATAAGGTCCAAAACGCGTTTGATGGGGGCATCCTGCACAACTTGGGATGCCTGGGCCACTAAGCTTTTAGGGTTTACGTTGCAGGGCAGCCAATGACAAGTGTGTCTTGACATGGCTCTTGGCATCGTAAGTTGCAAGCGTACTGCATTCTCAACTCGTGCATGTTGCTGGCCGCACCTGCCAATGCAAGAAGCGCTTCCTCAAAATAGTTCTTTGGGAGCGTCCTTGCTGCTGTAACCGCGAGCACAAACATGCGAACAAAAAAGCACACCCAAAGACTGATTTCTGTCAGAATCTGCGAACCGTGATGGCACTCTGATTCGGAGATGCCTGCATGTACTCCAGCCTTCGACCATCCTCAACCCGAAATTCGTATTATAGTCTAGAGTCTAAACTCCTGCTATCCCCCTTAATAACCCCAATAAAGCTCCCCTATATAATCCCCTATAAAACCCCTTTTAACGCGTTTAGACTATAGCTCATGTCCCTCAACGCCACACACCCTGCGCAGCTGGCCTGGCAGCCGTGGATCCGGCGTGCGATTCAGACTCGCACTGAAGATATGCTTGCCCTCGCTGAAGCGCATCCCTACCTTCCAGGCACTGGCATGGCACAAATCTTTCATGGCAGCTTCTCGAAATTCTGGGCCCTTTTTTGAGGGTTGCGTCATGAAGATGGTGCAATTTGAGACTTTATGTCTTCATGAAGACCCATATCTATGTACCTAATTATGTATGAAGGAATGGGGAGCGTCCAAGTTTTCAGACACGGCCGCATTCGTATCACCAAGCAAATAGACGCATCCAGACTGGACATTCCACCTCATGCATACCCGTAGAAGACATGCTGCGCTACAACCCATATGAGTAGGCCCCAGCTCGGAAGCGTAGATAACACAGGGGCTACACCCTAAGCCCCAAGCTTAACACACCTGCTTGCCTGACCGATGGAAGTCACACCATTGACGCCGACCTCAGTTACAGAGTTTGTCTAGAATTTCGGGTTTTGGACTTAAGGCACTAGGGATTTTGATTTTAGGGTAATACGGATTTGGTATGGGCTGGAGATTGGGGTTCAGGGCTGCGAAGCCAGCAGCGAAAACTTGCCCGTGTAGAGATGTTTCTAGAAAACGCCAGACTCCAGGCCCCGTGCTGGGATCCTAATTTGGAAGGAGTCGTCTTGCTGTGTATACATGTGAGCCCATGTCCTTATATTGAAGCAGAGGTCTGCTGCACCTCGACCGAATCTTGTATCTTGGAGTACGAGGTTTGGAGGCACAGGTTTGATCACACCGAGAAAGACGCGCCAAGACCAACCCGTCAAGGGCGCCAACCAATTTCTATGACCAAGATGCTCCAGCACCTCGTTTTCTACAAATCTGGTGATGGCATGCTACTAAACTGATTCTGGCTCGGCTCGAACCGCCAGCAATGGCAGAACTTGGTGCTTGGGTTATTCTTGAGTTATTTGACAAAACACGTACATTGACATGTTGCTCTACATCGCGATAATTTATAATCCACTAGTCCTCGATTTGCCCAATAACTCATCTGGAGCTGAAGAAATGGGAGTGTCTCAAAATTCTGGGTTCTTGAACGAACCATGAATGGCCCCCCCTGTGGCGGGTTGGAATGGGGGCAGGAGGGGGTTGCAAATAGGTACAGGTACTGTACTGTATTTGTTCCAGTATGTTCTTCGGCTGAGGGGGAGTAGGCCCCTTGACGGGCGTGCATATTGATGGGTGCAAACACCTGAAATGATTTACTTAGGAAAGAAATAGGAATAGAACAAACAGGAGTCAATGCTTCTCAAAAAACAGGAAAAGCATCGGAAAAAAAAACGGGAAAATTGTAGATAAGGGGTTGCCAGTTCCATCAAAAAATAATAAAACAGTGAATACACAGGAAAAGAAGCAATCGCACAAGTATATAAGCACAGGAAATGTGAAACACCTTTTAAACTAGATGCATATAGTAGCACTGGAAAGACGTGGTTAGGAACGGCCTGGATGTTCTGAGGTTGGGTGGGGCGCGGGAAGGAAACTCCGGGGCTGGGCAATTGCAAAGGGTTTGGCAAACTTTGGAACACTGCAGGGGATACTCTGCAGTTGGGAATTGCAGGGACACTCTGCGTTTGCACACTTCAAGGGTACTCTGCGGCTGGGCATTGCAGGTATACTCTGCGGTTGGGCAGTGCTGGGACACTCTGCATTTGCACACTGCACGCAGAGATACTCTGCGGTTGGGCACTGCACGGAGGGCGAGGAGAATATGAGCTTCTTGAAATCGAACAACAACACCACTTTGAGTTGAAAACAAATGGAAAAGCAATAGGCACCCTTCCAAAAAAGCAAGAAAATAATTGAAACAAAGAAACACGTGATTTTCTCAACGTTCCCAGGTTTTCCCAGTTTTCTCTCATGGCTTTCTCATTGGTCCTGGTTTTGCCCTACTTTGTTCTGATTTCGTCTCCTAGTTGTGTCCTACAATGTTCGCATTTTCTGTTTTCTGAATGCAGAGATTGCAATTTTCATCTTTCTTCCTACCCTAAACCCTTAGAACCTAAACCCTAAACAACGGAACAATTTCGCGAGAAAAAAGAAAAGAAAAAAAATCACCAACCTATCCATGTCATGCCCGTCTCCAGTGTAGGCGCTGCTGGTTCAGAGTCTAATGAAATAGATTATAATACAATATGATATATCATGATACTATATAGTAGTATAGTATAATAAGATATAGAAAGTATGGTAAAATATAGCATGGTATAGTATTCGTACGGCAACAGCCGATTCTTCTTGCTCTCATCACCTCTCCGCCGTCAGGCTCCCCAGGTCTTTCGTCTGTTGTCATCAGCCCTCGCCCACAGCCTTGCCTCTCCGGCGGCAGACTCAAACATTTCTCCCTTTACCCTTTGTGACTCTATGATTGGTGGTGCCCGTGCCCATTTGATACACCCCATCCCACCGCGCTGTAATAATGGGCGGCACTGTGAGCACCGGGGCCTTATGAGAAAATCTTTCCCAGCATGGCAGGAATCAATACAGGAGCCTGTAGAACAAACAGACGAGCGCATGCTGAGTACTGATCTGAAAACACCATGTGACGCTGAGTACCGGTGCCAATGTCAGGTCTCCTCCAAGCTGCAGCTGCGGCATGATCTTCTGCACAAAGGAGCCTGCGTTCCACCAAGTTGTTCTGACATGTGTGTTTCAAGCTGGGGGTCAGGGTTGTCGCCCGAGAGCTCAGACCCCAAAGCCCCTGTTGAGTGACTAGTCTGACCATATCTTCCAAACATTCTTGAAGGACAAGGAGGTTTTAAATGTCTCGCTGCATGCGGAATGCATGCGCGCATGGACCAGTTGCCATCTTCTGCTACTGATCAGCTTATGACTGTCACTGACCTGGGATATTGTTTTCTTGGTTGGCAGTGTCGATGACTCATAGCCAGCAAGTTGTTGGTTCATTATTGAATGAAGTACTGTGCCAGCATGACTGAAGCCACCTTATTCATAGCAGCTACATCAAATGCAGAAAGAGCAACAAGAGCCACGTCCTCTACGGCAGGCACAGTCGCCGTCACAACCCCCACACCCTCCATAAGCACACCAAGAATGCCACACTGTCATCACCCCTGCCACGACGACCACAATGGCAGGCCAAGAGGCTGGCTGGGGGGTGAAGGAGCTGGTGCGGTGACAGGAACAGGAAAGGAAGCTTTGCAGCACCATCATTACTGTCAGCTGTCATGCTAACAACTATTATTGTCACATGTGATTGTTCAGTTGCAAGCATTATTGTCCTTCTGACATGGTCAATGCGAGTGCTCGTTCTTGCTAGTGGCACTAGAGGCATCAGCATCAGCAGCAACGATGATCATCATGACAAGGAAACTGGTGAAACTTTCCAGTCCAGCTGTTGCGGTTGGCTCCCTGGCCTCCTGCAAGCCAGGCGCCCTGCCATGCAACCTTGGCGCAGAACGCGCGCTCGGGCCCGGAGTACTCGACGGTGCCCTCCTCAGCAGCTGAGTTGGCTAGGGCGAAAACTGCGGAACCTCGAAAGTTTACAGAGTCTGATGCCTAAGTAGGGGTGAGCTGCCAGGGACCTGACAGAGCCTGAGTTCAAGGAGCCTTGGCAGTGCAGGGGGCAGATTGCGTTCTAATGAGCCTTCAGCCGACCTCTCTTCAAGTTCCGCTTCTTTCTGCCCAATTGTCAGGTGTCGAGGCCGACCGGTTCTCTGCGTCGTTGCATTGCCGCGCAGGCTTCTCAAGTTTCAGGTCTGTGGCAGTCAGGCTGAAGTCTAGCCAACTAGTCGAGAATGACTGGATGCTCCTAGCAATGCGCAGAAGCCATTACAGCCTAGGCCCCTTTCCTGCCGTGCATGGCTGAGGTAACGGCGTGCATGTTGCGCTGAGCCTCCTGTCGTTCCAATTTACATGTGCACATGGGTAGCTCCCAAAATTAGGGTCCTATTTTGGTACCCCTAGATATTAGGTGCCGTAACATCATGTATAACCAAAAGGGGTTCATAATTTTGGGAACTACCCACATGGTCAAGGCAGCAGTGGCCTCGGTTAGCTGACAGAAAATGACATGTGTTAGCAGTTCAGCTTCTCCGCAGCTCTCACTCTATGTGCTTCTCCAAAAACAGCAATCTTTTTGGTAGTTAGCAGGGAATGCAGGAATGGATACAGCCCATATACTCCCTTATCACTCATTTTGATGGTCCCCAGAACCCTTCATTCTCTACCAACAACCCATAAGCGGTCTGACTTGGCCCAGTGCGCCTTCAGGTCTGAACTGGAGGAACCCTTCAGTTCCCAGCAGCTGCCCAACTGGCCGAGCAGAACCGGACTTCAGAGGTGGATGCGTTTAGTGTCAAGTTGGAGTTCGGACACAAGGATAATGGAAAATTAAATGGAAACTACTACTATAGTACATAGAGGGTATATGAGGATAATTCGTGGAGATTCCTAAGGATGCAGTTGGTGGAGTTTGGGCTTGCGTTGTTTGGTCTTCATCCGCTGCCTACCAGCTGGACATTCTCTGAAATCTGGAGCAGACGTGACCAAGCCTTCTGGATGAGTCGTCCGTTCACGCAGCCATCAAGGCCTCGGCTGCAGAGGCACGACGGCAAAAGCACTACTTACGAGGTATCATCCGAAGCTTTCCTTACAAAGCTTCATGCTTGAAAACACACTTGCTTTGGGAACCCCATTCCAAATCCTGTTCATCCCCTGGGTAATCTGTGGCTTTCAAAGGGGTCATTGGGATGAAGGGATTGTTCAAGAATCTCCTACCATGCTGAACTTGCGACTTCAGCGGCCTGTCCTTGCGACCAGCATCGTTCGCCCATCCTGCCGGTAGGCGCAAGCGCAAGTGAGAGTTGGCTCAAAGACATCATAATGCTACTGCAGAACATATCGCGGGAACTGCCATTGTGCACGTTATTTTGTTGGTTGCAAGAGCTTTGCTAATATGATGCAGCTCAGAACAGCATAATCGATCAGCAGAATGCCTACCTTACTTGCTTGCCCGAGTGCGTAGTCAACATGCGTACATCGTGCCCAAACCGTCCGGTGACTGAAAAGCTGGGCCGAACTGGTACAGGTAGCCGCACCTTAGAAAAGACAGGTGATGCCTCACGTACTGCAGCATGTCTTATTATGGATAGGCTCCAGGAATGCTAGGACCTCAGGCGTCTGAACTTGAACAGGCTTCCACATGCAAATGGCAGCATGCCAAATTCACATCACATCTTCTGCCAGAAGCACCGCTATCCAATATACTGAGCTTGCAGACTCGCGTAAGCGCGTTCCTAGGAAAAGCGAGTGGGTGGCCTGGAGCTCAGCGAAGGCACACAGCGACATGCTGCGACACGAGCTGCAGCGGTATTAGCAGCCATATATTCCGAGGGTTTAGGGTTTAGGGTTTAGGGTTAAGAACCAACCGTAGAACATACTGAGCATCAAGCTTCAAAGTCACAGAATTGGGATCCGATTCCTTGCTGCCTCATCCCGCGCTACAGATGATAAAGCCACTCAGGACACTTGCCCGCTCCGAGGCGACAGTAACTGTAAGACTGATATGCACAGCACCAAAGACTCAGGGCTTCATACTTTTTCATTTCTATTTTTCCTACGATTAATATTACTACCATTACTATCATTATGGTTACTAGTATTACGTTTATTATAGTACTGGTATGACTATTAGTATTACTTGTATGACTCCTACTATAATTACGGGTATTACTATCAGCTACAGAATTCGACTCCGGATTGCACCTGTGCAGTACCAAAAAGGTGATGTTCTCGGTCTTGTTTGCTTCAAAACTTGTCACGTACAATGTTGGAGTTTCTGAGGTGGATCTCATGCACTGTACCCTTGCATAAGCACAAGTGCTTTCCACGTTTGGGGAGCATCTTCTAGGTGCTTGCTCAGTGAAGGAGACCGTTTTGGTCTCACTCAAGACTGTGCTACCTACTAACTACTGATGTTCCACGACGTCACCCCGGTTTGCATGCCTGAAGGCAGTCGGTGACCTTCTTCTGGGCCTCGATGCGGAAACCATCCCAGTTGTCCTGGCCAGCACTGCGTGCAGAATGCAAATCCGGAATTGAATGGCCGGAAGCATAGTACGGATGCATCAAGACTGCGAATTATCGGTAGCCCTTGCGTGCTAGGAGTAGCCATTGCAATCATGGCAAAGGTAAAATCGAAACGCAGTAGCAACAGAAGCAACAGGGTAATACCAATACACACAAACCGTTTGCAATAGTAAAAGCCTACAACTGGTGGCTGCAGTTGTGCTGGCGGTGGAAGAGGTACGGATGCCGGGGTCGTATGCCAGCGGACAAGGCGCTCCACCAGGCCTGCATCGAAATGTTCTGCCATTCTCGGTGGATCATCTCGAACTGCACTGCGGATTCCTGCAGCCATTTGGTTCGTGTGCAAAAGCTGTCTAAGGCAGCCAGGCGGTCATGAGAACATTGCTTGGAACCCTGGCGTCTTACAGATCCCCGATGCCCTTGTAGCTATTATGTAGGCTACAACACGTACGTGCAACTGCCGTTATGTGTCTGCAGCTGCTTTCCGCAGAAAACTCTGCTGTGTCTTGACATGAGCGGGAAGTGATTGCCTCTCTCAACAGAGCAACCTCTGAACCCGAAACCCTCTTCCCATCCCCTTACACCCTCAGCCCTACAGACTTCCTTATGTCCTTAACCCACCTATGCCTCTGAAAACCCATGCCATGTGGCCTGCAACTGAACCCTACACCCGACAGCCCAAACCCTAACCCCTAAATAGTAGTTTTCACGTTCTTTTCCATTCCATCTACACAACCAGCAAGTAGACCGAACCTCTGGGCTGGGTGCAGGCTCTGCTGGCTTTGTCTCCACAGGACTGGCCAACGGGCTTACAGAGATTGTCATGTTTTGGTTCAGGGTTTGGTCAAAGTTTTGGTAGGGGACTATAGGGAGGTAGTACAGATGACACGGAAGGTCTCAGCGCCCAAATATCCTAGAATATTTGCTTCCACAGGCCTATACAAGTCACAAGATGCTATGAGGAGACTTTTTCTTGTAGAGATCGATGGTTCTGCAAATGGAAGGGGCGGCTGTTTTGACCGTGGTTCTAGAAGACATCCCAGGCGCTTAGGTATTTTCAGGGCACATCATGCAGCAACGCCTCTCAGAGCTACTCTGCGCAAGGAAAAGAAATCCTAGATCCACATGCAAGCGCTATTCACCTGAGCCAAAAATCCCCGAGCCCAGAACCCATAATATACTATAGTAGCTTCCATTCTCTTTTCCATTATCCCTATATAACCCCAATATACTATAGTAGTTTCCATTTTCTTTTCCATTATCCCATCCCAAACTCTGCGCAGCAAAGCAAGGAGCCAGCCAGACCTTGGCGGAGGTACCTCCCAAGGTTGGATCTGTAGAAACATTGTAAGTAATAGAACACATTCAGGGCTAACATAGGGCTTTAGGGGTTTACGGGTTTAGGGTTTAGGGTTGAACTTCAGGGAAGATCGAGGAATAGAAGGGCATCTCAACATGTGAGAGGGTGATAGTAATACTTGAAAGTTTGAGATCGATACTAAGTAGGTAGCTGCAAGGGTGCTTATAACCCTGGCCCATGCTGGGGGCAAACCCTATATGCTGCTACCGCTACGGCTGCGGCTGCTGTGTGGTAGCCGAAACGACAGCAATGGTTGCAACATTGATGAAGCGATGCGGACGACTCCTGCCAGGAAATGGTGCAAGCCTCTTCTGCTCGGACAACTCGAGACTGCATTGGCAATAAAGAGCCTCAGGTCACGTAGTTGGGCACCGTCGCGGGCTGGGTTCGGGGAAAGTTGGGCGGACTAGAAATCATTGATGCATTCTTCTTCTTGTTTGCCATTCTTGGCGTCCTTCTCCTCCTCCTCCTCCTTCTCGTGCTACCAGTAGAGCTAGAAGTATCAGTTGAAGTAGATGTTCAAGAAGGACAAGCAGTGGCCATTGCTGAAGAAGAACAAGAACGAAAACTATCATTCTGACAGCCCATCAGATAAGCAGTTGTAGCTTCACTGGAGTGACCATTGCGTATGGCACCAGCATTCTCATAAGCTTTGTTGGAGCATTGTTGCGCATGATTTGGCAGCAACCAACTTAGATAATCAGATTCAAATCAATGTTGCTGTGAGTGACAGCTTCTTGTTGTGGGAGTTTCCCAAAATTAGGGGTACCTTTTTGAGGGTCCCCTTAATAAGGATTATGGTATTTGGGGGTCTATTTTAGGGTCTCCCTGTTTAACAAAACTTCCGTGTAGCCATGGTGGTATTTTGTAAACACAGCGGGCAGGCAAAGCATGCTCTCCAACCCCTGACCTGAACGATGTTACACACCACATTTGTAGCCTCAGCCAACATTGATGGATAGAGGACTACAAACTCAGCGCTGCGCACAGCAGAGAGGAAGATCTTAGAATATTGCTGCAAAACTGTAGTAGCAAACCGCAACACGCGCCGGTTGGGAAAGCTGCATTGGCTGGCCTGACATACCGATTATTTTGGGACAATCATGAACCTGAAGCGACGAATCCTAGCACTAGTAACGATAGTGACGACATCAAACCAGACGATCCAAGTGCTCATTCAAAAAACATGGGAGGAGATCAGCAAGAGGTATTAACCCCTGCCATTGCAGCTAAGCTCAGATCTTCTAAACATCAGCATCTGCGGCAAAGGCGCTAAAAATACGCCCAAACCGCGAAGGTCGACCATCAGAGCGCCTGCAGAAGAAGACCATTCCTACGTCATCCCCACAGTTTCCCATGTTTGAACCCAATAGTCCCCAAATACCTCTTGAAAACTGCATCATCCTTAGATAGTCCTTGTAAAAAATCTTTGGGAAGCAATGAAGCCATGGCAGTGGACACGTTTGGTTCAAGTGCCAAGTGGCTTGAACGAAGCCAACCGGGCAACAAACAAAGAGCATGTTCAGCCTTAAACCCGAAACCCTGAGCCCCTAAACCCCTGAACCCCTAAACCCTTAAACTCCGAAATCCGTGCCTGTTCTCCATGGCAGGCGGCTGCGAAATCAGCAGGGACAAATTACGCTCCTACACCTTCCTTGAGCCCGACGCAGCGTATCAACTCACAGGATGACAAGCCCTGGGCCAGAGCCCAAACCCTAAACCAATGGAAACTACTGTAGTATATTGGGGTTATATTGGGGTTATATAGGGGTTATATGGGGATAATGGAAAAGAAAATGGAAACTACGATACTGGGATTCTATAGGCTTTAGGGTTTAGGGTATTGCGGGAAAGTTGACTACACCCTGAACCATGGACCCGAGACTACCTGGGTTTAGGGTTGCGGGTTTAGGGCTTAGGGGCTAAGACCCTGAACCCCACACCCTACAACAGAACCTTCAAGCCTGTCAGCCAATAATTTAAGGGTCGAAGTCTTTGCTTGGTGCCAAAAGAAACCGCGCAAATCTCGACAGTGATGCACAAGAAGTAGCGGACAAAGATAGGGTTCTGGGAAAGAAAGAAGCGCAGGAAAATTCACCCAAGGATTCATCAGAAATTGGACCAAAACCGTTCATATGCTAAGAATGGATGACCGTATTCGAAGCATGAGTTTATGATCCGGTCATGGGTTTTAGCCTCTCATTGCCTGCAAAGAGAATGACACCCGCTATGCGACGGCACCACAAATCAACCAACCCGACGACCATCGAAAACTAGACCCGCCAAAGATGAACCTAACTGCAACTCAAACTGACTGTCCGGCCCCTACGCCCTCCCAGTTCTTCGCGAATCGCAGCATGCTCACCAAGCTGCTAAATCCAGCCACCATGATGCTTTCTTGCTGTAAAGCGAGGACTAACACTATAGTAACCCTTGGAAAAACGTTGCTGCAAAACTCTTTGCTAACAACGACGCCTCAAATGGATCCGCTTTCACATGTCCTTGCTACAATAAATTTCAACAAAGCACACACGTCTAAGCCCTGGCTACCAGCAGCTAAGCTTTACGCAGTGCACGACAGCGAACAGGCCCCCTGATTCATACTTCTTAGCTGGCGGTCATACTTCCAAAGTCTTCCCCTGTAAGAGAGGAACGGCATGCGGCATAAGTATTGCAACAGCTTTCCGCTGTATCTCCTGATGCTCCAAGAGAACAGTAACAATGCGCAAAGTAGTTCAGTCTTCAACTTTCACTATGTCTTGCGCACTGTAGAATTTGGTAGCCTACTTCTAGACAATGTTAGATCTCCTTCAGCTTGCCATGATGTGATCTAACGATCAGTGTGGCGGAATTGTGAGGGCCTCCTAGCCAGTCTTTGTGGGGTCCCACCGGACAGGCTGGCTTGCCGAAACTAAGAAAATTTCAACACATACGTGGTTGGTGCTGTGACCGGAGTAGGGATCTGTTGATACCTGAGGCGCACATGCCCTCAGACCTCAGGACTTTTTTAAGCGGATGGCTGCGTATGCCAGAATGTTGAGCACCACGAATTTGCCTAAGACAAGCCCCGCTTCGCCAACCGATCATCGTGATGTGGGCAGCTAGGTTGACTGCTAGCCCTGGAATACTGGGCAAGTTTGATGACCTGCAGTTGTGACCGGCTGGATCATGCGATGCAGAGCTCAAGCATTTGGCGCAAACAGTGGCATTCCTACCACATCGTATAGTGGCATGCTGGAAGGCATGCCTCATGCAGCCACTCTTCCAGCTCACTGCGTTCGCTGACTGCAGTCAGTTTGTTTCCTTGACTATATATCCAACTGCCTTTGATTCTTACATTCCCGAAAGGTGCCCTCAGCGCGTGAGACGCGGCCACCACGACCGCCTCACTCAATCCGAGCCCAGGTTTACCACCTCAGCTCATCTGCCAGTGCTGAACCAAACGTGACTCACTACGTGGGCATGCTTGCGATGATCAGAGATAGATGAAGTAGGTTGGGCCGAACCTACTACTTGTGACCACCAGGGGCAACGCCAATTATTTCAGGAAAGCTCTTCGAGGGTTATTCCATGCTTGCACTTGAGGATTTCACAAATTTTCCTACCCTTGGTCCGAGGGCTTCCCATGGCTGCTTGGCAAACCCTAATTTCAAGTGTTTGGCCAAAGCAGAGGGGCACCCAAACCCCTGGTTTTTGAGCCCAGAAAGACGGTTTAGGAGACAACCCAAGCCCCCCTTTTCAAGCCGAACAAGAAGCTTTGGGAGAGGCAGCAAGAGCCTTGTTTTCGAGCGGAGGAAAATCTCCCGATCCACACTTCCCCCCCACATCTCGGGGCGGCTCCGCAAGCGCCATAGCCGCCCTCCGCGAAGGGGACGGGGTATTTACAGCCAAGATACCGAAGGGAGTATAAAGGGTAGATCGTGTAAGGAATGGGAGAGCGGAGAGAGGTTGCGGAAAGGAACTGAGTGAGCAATAGGTGGGCGAGGAGGATCGTCAAGGGAAGGAGAAGGCTAGGCCAGGAAGACAGAGCATCCAAACAATACACAGCAAGAAGGGGGGCTCAAAGCGAAGGAAGGTCCAGCATCAACTCACAAACAGGTACAGCAGCATGCCGAGGCAACGCAGCCAAGGCGAAGGGGAGGGCGAGCAATGCCATCAAAGAGGTTGCTCAGACCCAAAAGCAAGAAAGACAATGACAATACAGATCCCCAGAGCAGATGAACATAATGAAAGTGGTACCAGACCAGGGGGAAAAACAAAAAGCGCACAAAGTGGCACAGAAGCAGCCATGACAAAGCAAAGGAGAGAGCAAGAGAAGGACAGGAGCCAGCCCAGTGGGCCAAATAGGCGCAGATGGTGGCAGCTAAAAGCAACAGCGCAAGGGAAAAATCTTTTTCTCTCCACGAAGCACGGCAAGAGCAGGAGAAGGAAAGGCACCAGCCCGGTGGGCCAAATAGGCGCAAACGGAGACAGGTAAAAGCCGCAAGGCACGGGAAGAGCAGGAGAAGGCCCCAACCCAGTGGGCCAAATAGGCGCGAATGGTGGCAAGTACGAGTCACGAAACAGGGGAAAAGCAAAGGAAAGGCGCCAGCCCGGTGAGCCTAAAAACCGCGAACGCTGGCAAGTAAAAGCCACCAAGTGGAAGAAAAGAAGAAGCAAAGGCGACAGCCCCAGTGGGCCAAATAGCCGCTAATGGTGGCATGTAAGAGTCACGAAGCGGACCAGCACCAGTAGGCCAAATAGGCGCGAATGGTCGCAAGTTAAAGCCACAAGGCAGGGAGAAGAGCAGGAGAAGGAAAGGCGCCAGCCCAGTGGGCCAAAGCAGGAGAAGAGCAGGAGAACGAGAGGAGCTTGCCCAGTGGGCCAAATAGGCGCGAATGCTGGTAAGCCAAAGCCATAACAAAGCAAAGGGAAGAGGAGAAGGGAGATCTTCGGCCCAATGCCGCCGGACAGCACGCAAAGCAGGAGACACACAAGGCCAATAGCGGCTCACAGGCATGCTCCGAGGCAAGGAGGCATACGGCGGTGGCTGACAAAGAGAATGGGTCAGGAAGTTCAAGAAAGATTGGCCCAACAGCGCACGAAGACGCGATTCGAAGTAATTCTGCAGCTGTCCGGGGAACTAGGCAGGGCGAATAGCAAAACAGCCCGCCTCGAAGCCGGCACAAGGTCCACAGTGCCAGTGTCGGCGAAAGATAAGTAGAAGCGACGGACTAAGCCCAAACGGTACAGCTAGAAGCACGCAGTACAAGAAGCAGGGCCAAAGGCCCAACGGGTCGGGGGTAGAGAAGTGGCAGGGAAGAGACAGGTAAGCTCATATTGCCTAATGAGCAGAAGAATGAGAGGAAGAGGAAGCGGACGAGGAAGAGGTGGAGGAGGACAGGCTGGCAGGTCACGGAAATAGGCCAGGAAAGGAAGAAGAAGTGGCACTATCGCCCCATCGAGAAAACAAAGGCTGCAGAGGGAGGGTGCTAGTCGAGGGGGAAGCACCCGTCTTAGTGCCATTCTCTGAAGTCCTGCCCCCCAAGAAATAGCAGCCCCGTTCTGACGAACTCCATGGGAGTCTGGCTTGAAGGTGCGCTTTGAGGTGCGCTTTGGGGCCTGACGTTTGACTTAAAGGGGCTATACTAGGGATATATTGGGATAAGGGAAAATAAAATGGAAACTACGATTTAGGGTTTGAGGGTGTAGGTCTAGGGATATTTGGCTTACAGACGTGTTTTGCGGTTCGGGGGGGTTGAGATGTGTGCTTTGGGTCTGGGCGTTTGGCTTAGAGGTGTGTTCTGAGGGCATGAAGTCGCGTCAGTCGTCGTGAGCCCTCGCCCACCACCATCACGGCGGCGGACTTGGACTCTGTCGTCGCCCTCGTCCACCACCATCACGGCGGCGGACTTAGACAATGTCGTCAAAACGTCGCGATGCATGCATTTCTTGATCCTCTGCTGGCCCATACTTCGTATCCACGCCACTGCTCATCGAACCCTACACTCAAAACGCTCAACGCTATATCCCAAATCCTCGGCCCTAAACCCAGCAGCAGCCAGGGCACTTTCCCTTCTTGCCCTTGCCCTTGCCCTTGGGTCCAGGGATGGCCGGCAGGGCCGCTGGCGCCGGTGCCGGTGCAGGAGCCTTGGAGCCATGGGGTCATGAGGGTTCAGGGTGGGCCTAGGGCATTGAGGACACAGAAACCAACCAGGGGTTGAAGGGGTTGGTGGGTTGATGGAGTCCAAGGCCAGTAATCATCTTGCACGATGAGCCACGCTTCAACCTGCATGTCAGCGCTGTTCCTGGACTTGATCGGCAGGTAAAGTGCCAGCATTGCTGACGACTGCTACCATATAATCTCATTAGATTTGGTCGTTCGTACTAACCCGAGTGCTACTAATGCTGCACTTGCTACATGCATGCAAAGGAGTGCCGCGCTGAGCACGGCGCCACTGGAGCTGGCGCGGGATTGTGCAGGACGAACCTTGCTGCTTCACCATGATTTCACCAACCACCACTAACTTTACCCTGTATACTCTTGGAGTGTTACCAAGAGTTCTTGCCACCAATCGAAATGTGAGATTATGCTAAAATGGGCACGGACAGGAAATCCAACCACCGAGCAAACCAGGCGCAGCTATTTGCTCTGCTTGGTAAGCATCTCTTCTTTGCGCAGATTCACTAAGCCAGCTTTTCACTTGAGGAGGGGTCTTAAGGGGAGAGAAGATTGAGCAATAGCCAGAGGACAAGCCCAGGATGCGCCCACGCAAGCCCCTGTCAAGATTATCACTTTCGAGGAAAAGGACCCTCTTCTACAAGCATCTCATAACTCATTAAGCTTTAGATCCCACGTGCCATAAACAAACCATGATCTGTACATGTCTGGCGGCCCGCGTGCCCCTCAACAATGATAATCAGAAAATGAAATGACAATCATAACAACGCACCAATAACTATAGCAATAACAGGAATAACAAGTATAACCATAATAGTATGTTCTAGAATTTAGACTTCGTTTGACACAACCAGGTCATGTCCATGCTCTCCACCTCGCTCAACAACACTGATCCTGACCTTTCCATGTCCCTGTCCCTTCCATGCAGAATACCGGGACCTGGAGGCTATTGGGCTCTTATTGGTATTACTATGATTACTATTATTACTATTACTTACTACTATTTCTATTATTATTAGTATTATTACTTTTACTCGTAGTACTATTATTACTATGGCTGGGCTCCATGTTTTGGACCAAAACCATGCCAAGCTCTTAAGCTGGAAACTTGGGTTCTTTTGGGACGGGTCTACTGAAAGCCCTGAGCCCGAGTGATTCAAGACTCCAAAGTAGGGTTTAGGGTTTAGGGGTCCTGCAACTAGCCATGATTTAACCCTGAACCCCAAGCCTCCTAGAGTAGTCTCCCTCAAGCAGATAGAGTATGGAATTGCCCAATACCATAAGAAGATCCCCATATACCCCATATTCCATCTACGTAAGGGGGACTATATAAAGCCCAAATCAAAGATGAATTTTGATGCCAAGGAACTTCAGCCTGGCGGTCTCATCGCCTGCATCGATTCTCCTCTGGCGCTCCTTACGGCTCTCCTGGATCGCTCAGAACAGTTGAACAGACGGAATTCCAAGGGTTTACTTCCGGGTTGTAGGGTTTAGGGTTTAGCGGGAATTCCAAGGGTTTACTTCCTGGTTGTTGGTAGGGAATGGAAGGACGGATCCTTCCAGTAGCCCCTATGTAGCCCTTATGTCGTTTCTAAAAATATCGCAGTTTCCAGTTTGTTGTCCCTTTCATTCCCAACTAGCAATCAGCAAGTTTAGGGGTTCAAAAAGGCTGGGGCTTGCAGTTCTTATGGTAAGTTCTCAATGCTTTGGGTCCTTCCTCCAGGCTAGCTCTCCTGGGTACATGCGAAGCCTTGCTGTGAGAACCGGAGGAGACCATTGGCGTTCTTGTCACAGGGTCTCCGGACCAGTGTTTGGAGGGTCCAACATGTGTTGGGGTATCCAGTGAGACCCAGTCCTGAGAAACTCCTTGCTAGCAGAGCTGCTAGGCAGCCATTTCATGAGTACACCGCCGTTAAGCTGCGAGGAGAAACTAATCAACGGCTTACCCTGAAGGACCGAAATCAGTCCCGTACTTGAAACAATACATCAAGAAGTGTCTATAAACTGACTTCGAACCACCTCCGTAGACGAGCCTGCACATGATACTCGTGAAAACTTGCAACTACAAGAGCGCGCCTTCTCATGATGAACTTGGTGATACAGGATAAAACCCTGGAAAATCATAGCGGTAGTCAAGTTGTACCCTAAACCCTAAACCCTTGTAGTCCCTTCACACGGTAGCTTTGGCCTCGGTAAGCTTCACCAGCATGTCCATGGACTCGAGTTCGTCTTCCAAGATCGTGGAGAACATCTTCGTGTCCTACCGGGGACATCCGGCTGGCTATCTTCAAACTGCTTCTGAGGCGCTGTAGGTCTTCCCTGCGCTTCACAGTTGAACATGCAGCAGGAAGCTGAGCTGACAGTAAGACTCCAGGTGCTGTTATAGTTATATTTGCAAGCATGCAGCTGGGCTTGAGCTGTCTAAGTCGCTTGAGGCATCTTGCCGTCCCGTCCTCGCTGATGGCCACGGTATCCTAAGCAGATGGTGATGCAGTTTTTGAGCAACGCAGCTCTGATCCACAGGAGCCCACCTTCACCAGCTTGACGATGTCCGACATCTCGGAGACTCCAAACTGCTTCGTGTTCATCTGCTTTTTGAAGTACTTGCCTTGCCAAAGGCGAGTTGCGTTCTGCTGATGCCAAGTGCATGTTCCAGCTGCATTATGCCAATGATCGTGTTCCCTTGACATCATGCAAACCTACACTTTCATCAAGCCAAGCAAACTGATCAACCCAACCCAGCTCATTCTTGCTGCCAGCTGAGGTGAGCCGCTGTAGTAGAAGGCGACGTGGGCTTCAGGAATAGCAACACGATCTGGATCGTTGACGTCCTCTGACAAAAAGGGTGGTCACAGTTACTTGGTGTCAGGAGGAGATAAAGAATGGATCACTAAAGTAGACCCTAAACTATCCCCAACAGTCTGATAGTGAGCGTGATAGTCTCCATATTTTTTAAATTCCTTCATTCTCCTCTGGAATATTCCAGAAACACTCTCCCATACATACCACTGAAAATGATACGGTTTGCCTGATAAAGATCACAGGCAGCAACCAGTACTAATCCTCTAGACTCTGGCATCCCGACAGCAACTCCGTAAACTCCATATAGAACCCCATCAAGAGCCTCACAGCTTGGAGAAATGCCCATGGCACGCGCACGAGCCTTCTTGAAGGAATCCTGCAGCAGGAAGAGCTCATAGCGAAGCTGCAGCAGGGCCCAGTCCTCCAGTTTAGGTCTCGAGGGTTTAGAGTTTAGGGTTTAGGGTTTAGGTTTCAAGGGTTTAGGGCTTAGGATTCACGGCTTGGGGTTAAAGGCTCAGGCTTCCAGGCGCGGCGTAAGTGTTTGAGGGTCTCACAACATGTCAAGAAGGCTGGAGGGAATCAAGGGAAACGCGGTGAAGTTTGGGTACTGCCCCCATTCAGAAACAGCTGGATGATATGCATATAACTGTGTATACTTGTATAATATTGCCCTTATTACACAAATTGTTACTTGGGGGGCAGTACCCAAGGTGAAATTGTACTGTGAAGGCCGGTCCTTCACCCCAACCTCTTTCATCGCAGCGGGGGACGGCATGCTAACTTTCAACCCTGGAACCCTTAATCCGTGAAACCGCAAAGCTCTAAGTCTTTGAACCCTAAAACTGCAAAACCCTCAAACCCTAAACCCCTAAAGGGGAGTTTCCAAAATAGGCAGAGCACATAAGTCAGTCCCAAACGCTGCATCCAGCTTCCAAAATCTAAGGTCTCTGCCATGGGCCCATACTTTGGCTTGTAGAATTTTCTAGGGTATGTATTAGGTATGTATTTTCGGTCCCTAAACCCTAAACCCTATTCCCTAAATCCTAAACCCTAAACCCTAAACCCTAAATCCTAAACCCTGGACCCCAAGCTTAAGGGCCCATACTCGAAGCCCCTGATTCGGACCTTAGACGAAAGGAATGTCCTCAGCCTCGAAGCTGCTGTACCTTAGGACTTCAAGGCATACTGGTAATAGAAATGAAAATCGTAATATTAATTAAAATAGAAATAGTAGTAATAATAATAATAGTAATAGGAATAGTAAGAGGAATAGTAATGGTAATAGTCATGGTAATGGCAATAGGAATAGTAATACCAATGGTAATAGTAATGGTATGGTTTAAGGTTTAGGGCTCAGGGTTTACTAGTAATAGTTGTATTCATAACGATGATAATAGTCATAGTAATGATTTTAATGATAATAGTAATGATCATAGTAGTCGTAGAAGTTGAGGATCTGTTCGGGGTTGAGAGCTTCAGTGCTTAGGATTTCGGAGCTTCAGGGTTGGGGCTTGAAAGGGCTTGGAAATCTAGAGTTCAGGGTTCATGTTTTTGGGGCTTAAAACTTCATGGCTCCAGACATACCCTTAGCTGTTTTTTCTTTCGTCCATGCTTTAAATTAGAGTCTATGGTTAAAGGGAATTGGGTCTGTGATTTAAGTCTCGCGTCTTAGGGCTTTGGACGTACTACACCGGCATGGATGGTGAGCTCCATGCTTTTCACGTACCATAACACATCTGAGGAGGGCCATTTGCCAAGTACAGGAGAAAACACTACCGGTAACTGTAAACTGATTATTCAGATTGCCACACAAAGGCTTATGCAAGAAGCCTGCATAGAACATTCGGCAACACAACTATTTATCATTTTGTTCAAAAAATCCTTTGAAGGCCATCAATTAATTCCGAAGTTGCCATGTCGCAGCAACTTTCAAGGGCTCTTGCTGCATGTACTTCCCAACAAAAGACATACATGTGAGGGCCTGTCTATGCTGACTAGTGGCAGAGGCTCGCCACCACCAATGTCGTTGATGTCCTCGCGTTGAGTGTTGGTATTGCATAGTAGTAAAATGGCAGTCGTAATCGCAAACATGAAAAGAAAGGTAGCCGCTCAGCTACATGATGGTCGTGGCATTGGTTCCACCCATGAAATGTGAGCCCATGTGCAAGCTGCTTCTGTGCTCCATTTCTCTAGAAACCTAATTCGTGGTCTTGCAGGCTCCATCCTCGACTGCGGTGATGTCAACAGGGGCAGCATCCTGGCAAGCGACACATCCCAAACTTAGATGGACAGTAGCATGCACAGCAGGCATAACGAAAAACGAACATGGTCATGATAGCCAGAACACACATCCCTCCAAAGGAGCTATCATAATGATGATGGAGGTAACAGCAGAGACCACGTAAAACGATCGTTATCACTTCCAGCATCTCCAGCTTGTCCCGGAGCTGACGGTCCATATATCGGTTTTTAAGATTATCACCTGTTTGTCGTGCTAGACATGATTTGTGCGTGTCAGTGCTTTTCCGTTGAAGCATCAATCAGTTGCGATTTGAACACTTCCTACACAAAGAATCATGTCAACAAATTTGGAGGACGGGGTCGCGTTGCGCAGAACCATTTTGAAACATGGGCACGTGGACTTAATTGGCAAGCCGGAAACCAATTGCGATTTGAAGCTTTCCTTGCAGAACCAGTTTGAAACATGGGCACGTGGCAATCCCCCGGAATGCTTGTTTTCCATTTAGCACCAACCGGAAACCAATTGCGATTTGAAGCTTTCCTTGCATTTCAAGCACCCAGTATAAAAGCCTTGTTAATTACCGCCAGTTATGGCAAAGCTCTTGTCAACTAATTCGCGCCAAAGCTGGCAAGAACAAGTTTTCTTACAATCACTACCGAACGCAGCTTCATTGAGGAATTCAGAATTACCTGAAGCCGAATATGTTGCTTCAGGATTGGTGGAGCGGCGCGCTCGACACCAATAATTACTGGTTTTCTGCGCATGAACCAAACATCCAAAATCCTGAGACCGGACAGTATTGTAATTCCAAGCACTCCGAAAATGAAACCCTTTCCTAAGCTTTTGCAAAATTGCATCCAATGCCCAACCCTAAACTTAAACTCAGGTTCCAGGCATGGCCCCTGCACAAGGACGACACGCATGGCTTCGATGCTGGTGATGCAGCATTCAGTTGCACTAAGGCAGGCAAACTGCGCAAGCCAGCAAGCTGGCTTGCACCCATGTGTGAGGGGGCTTGGCTTCTAAGGCCAAGCATGGCCGAATTTGGATGTGAACCACTCGTGCCACTATGGGCTGGCGAGCACCTCATAAATTGGGCGGCCCGGGTGAAACAGCTTCCCATGGCTCACCAACGGATGGTTTGCTTCAGCTGTCTTGTCACCGGTAGTCCTGAATGATCGTTGGGGCTTCACTGCCTGGGCTAGCTCGCTGGCCCTAATTGAGCATGTGGGACACTTTCTGGCCGCCAAGATTACTTCGGTGCACTCGGAGGCCTGGGACCTCCACTGGCCACTATTCGGTCTCCGCTTCTTTGTCTGACTCTCTGTTCTCCTGCCTGTTCCCTGATCTGTTCTCTTTACTGGCTGGCACCTACTGACGGGGTGGTTCTCGCTGCCTCGTCACATGGAGGGAACATTTGGGATAGACCTGTCGACTCGCGTTCCTCGCGACCATCTGTCCTTAAAGATTATTAACCCCACTGAGAGCGGGGGAATAAACACAGGCATGTCATATAATCTTTAACAACATATGCAGCAACGAACATCAAATACATTTTTGCGCTAGAAAAATCATTGTCAAGTTATAACAACAAAAAACAGTATTTGGAAATTGTCAAGCCTACCTTATGGGCATTACACTCTCACTAAGGAGTGTTTCGTGCCGGAAGTGTCCTCAGCATTAGAGAAGTTTGTTACCCTTTTCGCGCCCGGAATATCCCTACCATTTAACTTGAGCGTTGGAAAAGAACGAGAGGTTTGCTCATTTTTTCGTGCCCAAAGTATCCTTCGCAAAAGCAGATATATGAGGGAGAGGATTAGTTGAAAAAGAGTGCAGATTTATCAACGTTTTCGTGCCCGGAATATCCTTGGCAAAAGCAGAAATAAACCGAAACAAATGCAATAGAAGCTTCAGCTACCGCTGCAGCTCATGTAGGAGTTGGTAGGATCTTGCAGTAGCAAAAAAAAAGCTCCTGAAGAATGCACTGGAAACCGGGTGACCAAAAAAAAGAACATGATAGCAACGAAGGTTAAAAAGCAACAAACAACGAATTCAACAAAACAACCACATCCACCATCATCACTGTGCCATGCTTATGCACCGCAACACAATCAAAACATGCTCTCGCACCACAAAACAATCAAATCCAGCTCAATCACTCTGCCGCGCTATCGTTGCGCTGTCTGTCCTCTTTTTGTGTCCTGTTGTCTGTCGTCTTTTCTGTCCTCTAAGTTGTCCTCTTGTAATTATCTGTACAGGCTGGCGCCTGCTGATGGGGTGGTTCTCGCTGCCTCACTACCTCGGAAGTCGCGTTCCTCGCGGGCATCTGTCCTTAAGATCTAACAACCCCACTGCGAGTAGGGACCAATTTGAAGGCCATGTTTGCCGCGAGCCTGCTAGGTATGCAAATTGTGAGAATATGGGCGATTCTCACTATCAAGCCCATGGAATCCCTTTATTCTGGTATGTTACGGTATATTATAGTATATTATAGTACGTTATGATATATTCTAGTATAATCTTGTATATTATGGTATATTGTAATTTTGACAACCTACAGGAAGCCGCGTAATCATGTTCTGAGCTCTCTATATCCCTCAGACCCTTACGCGCACTACTACATTAACATCATGTTAGCCCCAACTCCCGACCATGAACCCCAAACCCCAACACAAATAAACTGCCTCAAAACCTTTGAACCCCAAATCTACAAGATTCATGTTACTTTTTGGACGTTAGCTGATACAAAGATAAAGCTATATCCAAGAGTGGCCCAGTTATAAACCCTAAATATTAGTTTCCATTTTCTTGTCCATTCTCCTTATATAACCCCCATATAAACCCTAAACCCTTAACCCCTAAACCCTAAGGCCCATATAAAACCTAAACCCTTAACCCCTAAACCCTAAGGCCCCTATTAATAGCCCCCCATATAACCATGACAAGCACCTTGCTCTTCTTCGAGCCTGCAGCCTTCCAGGCCTTCCAAGAGGAAAACTTAGGCTTTAGGGTTTACGGGGGCAATTTGGGGTTTCCGGGTTTCAGGACATAGTGCACTTTACGGGGGACAGTCAAGATGTTGAGGGTTCGGGTGAACTCCATACATGCTGCCTGCCAGGTCATATATCAAAAGCAAAATTAACTGACTCGAGAGCAGCAACTCAAATTTGTCGGAACCCCTACATTGAATATGTTGCTTCTCTATAATCAGAAGTAAGGACGCCCAACTGAAGATGGGGATTCTAAAGGAGCCCTCTGTTTCTGCATGGCACCAACGGGACCCCAGACAAGAATGGGGATAATGCCCTTAAACACCCAAAGGGAATATGGAAGGAAGATTCTGGAGAAATTAAAACAGATGTTAATCCTGAATTGAAGACAGTATTGCCTTGCCCCAACGATTACAAAAATTAATGGTCAGCTCATTTGAGCTTGTCACAATTTTTCCCACATTATGCCAACAAACTCCCAAATCTGGCTATTTCTCCAGTCGCGCCATGCCTTCTGCTTTGCCTGCAGATCCTGGCGGAGTAATAGCACTATCGCTGCAATGCTTGCGACGTTACGGTTTAAGTTTTGAGGGGTCATAGTCCCTTGAGAATCCAAAAGAAGGATCCCTGCATGCCACTGCAGGCATCGTATCTAAGATTTGGGGTCTAAATCCGTGGAGGGTACATCCCATCTGCGAGGTCAAGTTCCACGCACACTGAACAGAACAAACTTCTAGTATGCACAGCCTCGCATGCCATGTTCTGGGGCAAAGGCGGGTCGTATGGGAGGTTCAGGAAGAAGAGATGACATGATATGTCCATGCCAAAGCCTCATAGCTCGCTTGCGTAATATCGAAGCATACATGATCAGAAAAGCGTTTTGGGGTGGATTATGGGCAGGCTGCCATATCAGACGCTACCTTCCCCCCCTTGTTACTTGCTTCTTTTGTGCAGGCCGATTGAGCCAGCTGTTCTTTAGGAGGTCAGTGATGCTTAGGACCCTCCTCTCCCACTCATGTTGGCGCTGGTACAACAATGTGAGGAACCTGTTTATTCGGAACCTCCAAGAGATAAACATGTATAATCCTGAGACATCCTGGAATGCCATGCAATGTCCATAAGAGCTTCCTCAGAATGTTCAAACAGCCAGAACGGCACAGCCAAAACCCTAGCCCCCGCCATAAACCTGAATCGATTTTTCCCTGCGGGCGGTCCCCGTAGGTCTTCTGCCACGCTCCGAACTTGTCCTTGAAGTCCTGGGATGGCTGCAGGTCCTGCGCGCGGTTTCGAACTTTCGCTGGTGAGGGGAATCCACTTCGTGTGTGGGCTAAGACAGTCTCATTCTAGTATATGTTGGGATCAGACGCTATAGGACTTCAGGAAAATGGAGCAGATCGCCTGAACTGGCTGTTCAGTTATTGCACCGATTTGCTGGACTGACTTAGGTCCAGGCATGGTCGGATGTTGTTCAAATACTTTGACATGAAAGCAAGCGAAAATGACGTGAACTACCAGCAAGGGCCACAACCAGTATCCGCCACTACGGTGGACAATGAAATTCCAGCATGACCAAATACCCAAAAACTTTGGAATTATGGTACTATAGTATACCAAGGTCATGCAACTACTGTACCAGTCCTTTTTCTTGGCCTTGAGTTCCCATGCTATACTGCCAAGAATGCCAGATTGATGTTCCCTGCATTGCCCAGAAATAACGATTAACAGTGGTAATAACAGGAACAGTATTGGTAGCAGTAGTAGCAGCAGCAGCAGCAGCAGCAGTAGTAGTAGTAGTAGTAGTGGTGGCAGTAGTAGTAGTGGTGGTAGTAGGTAGTAGAGTAGTAGTAGTAGTAGTGGTGGTAGTAGTAGTAGTAGTAGCAGTAGCAATAGTAGTCTTAGCAGCAGCAGCAGCAGCAGCAGCAGCAGCAGTAGTAGTAGTAGTAGTAGTAATCCTCGATGCGGGTGGTGAGCTTGGTCTCAAGGACCCACTTCCGCAAATACTCCTTGCCTCGGCTCTCTAAACTCTGAGCCCGAACGGTTTGAGGACTGAGACTGTGGGTTTAGGACTTGACTTACGGCTTAGCAAAATTTAGGGTTTGTAGGGTTTGGGTGAGTAAGGTGCTATCCTTCAACCTCAAGGGTGTAAGATTTAAGGTTTGTGGCTAGGACTCTACAACTTCTTTGCAATTTTGGCTATACTCAAACTAATTCAACTCACAATTCCTTACAAGGATCTTCTATGAGTTCTGCTTATTGTAGTCACTATTCTTGGACGACTGTACATTCTTGCCTGTATTGTACTTACAACAGCACTCTACCAGCCCGAACTCAACAAGCATGTCAGGACCTGCCCCACCTACCCCGCCCCAAAAACGCCAGGCTGGAAGCAACTGACCACATCGCAGCTCTGCCTGCTAGGAAGGCGCTCTCACCAGCTCCCTGCCAGATGAACTTGATCTCATCGAAGCCCTCGTCCTTCTCCGGAATGGTGAAGTTCGCAAACGCCTGCAGTTGGCAACAGATTCAAATTGTAGTGATTCTTGGCAAGGCTTACCACCGCACTCTGACCCAGTAGCCCAGGCTGCCCCGTCCTGTGTGCCTAGCGGCGTCATGTCAATTCCCTGCTTCTGGCTCCATATGCGGTTTCCCCAAATTAGGGGTACTTCTTTGGGGAGTCCCCATAATACGGACTATGTAGTTTGGGCTCTATATTGGGGTCCCCTTCTTTTGGGAAGCTACCATATGGGCACTTCCCAACCTACTTAAGCATACACAATCCTGAATACAACAACCCTGCGCAGGCAACAACGTAGCATCGCCGTGGGACGAGACTGAGATGCCTTGCCCAAAACGGAGGCAGTCAAGTCTGGGACAGCGCCCTTCGGGAGGAAGCTCATCTTCTCCTGCCATGTCACTTGGATATAGTAATAGTAATAGTAACAGTAATAGTAACAGTAACGTGACAGCTATAGTAATAGTAATGGTAATTGGTACTGGAAAAAAGCAATACTAATAATACACCTGCTGCGTCCGCGAGAAATGTCCTACAACACTGCAAGAAAACGTCCGCAAACAGATCTGGAGTTCGCTCTGGTCTACCGGTTTATACGGTAGTGTTCCAAAATACTGGACCCTAATATAGGCGCCGAAATACTAGGACATGAGAGCAGACTGTCCTCCTCTTCTGTGAGCTCCACCTGTCAAAGCGAAGTACGACAAAGCGGCTAGAAAGGGAATTGAAAGGCCAGGCTTGTTCCTACTGTTAATTTCACTACTATTATTAGTACTATTATTAGGACGATTAATAGTACTGTTATTACTAGTCTCATGAATACTAGTGGAGCCATTGACCATCCAGTGCAAGCAGTGCAACAAACAGCTGCCCTCTCTGCCTTCGGCGGCTCGTCGCCCAGACTGAGTTCAAGTCCGCAGAAACAAGTGTTGCGCAAAAACTGTCTTGCCAAAGCTGGAGTGCCCATCTCCCTCAACAATGATATCCTGCAAAGCTGCATCCCAAAAATCAAACCAGGCCAATAGCACCTACACGACAGGTTGCAAGACCCTCTATGCAAGTCGCGGAGCTCTTCCTCCTCCTCTGGCGCTGGCTCCTCCTCCTCGTGCCAAGCAGATGAACGTGGTAGAGGAATGTAAGGTCCATCACAGGCTTCGGATCAGCTGGCAGGATATCTTGTGGCATGTCAGGTTGTAAGTCAGCGCGGTGTTACTATTTGGGGTTTGCCTCTAAATGTGACGTGCAGGTTGCAGATGTTGTAAGAATCCAACTCACTTCTGTACCCGCAACAAATGGCCTGCGTTACTTGTGGGGCTGTCACGTGCTCAACGTTAGTTTTAACACAGCTGCGATCTTCATTGCATAGCTGTTGCTCTCAAACTATGCAGAAAGCTCTGTGGGCGTCCTTCTTCATCTCTTCATCGGGCTTCTCTGCGGGCTCCTTTGCTTCCGCTTCTTCCTCCGCTTTCTCCTCCTTCTTCTCCTCTGAGCCCTCTTCCTTCTCCTAACGGCAAGTGGCACCAGGACACAGGCATACGAATGATGAGAAGCTGAACCAACCATGCCTAACACACAAGACGGGCAAGAATCACCATGGCAAGAATCATTTAAACTAAGATTCCCGAGCAGGAACATGCAGCAGCAGCAGCAGCAGCAGGAACATTTACAGCGGCGGGGGCAGCGGTGGCGACGGTAGGGAGCAGGGGAGGACGCAGGAGCAGCAGCGGCGGCGGCGGCACCACCAGCACTACCACCTCCGCCAGCACCCTCAGCAGTGTTGCTAGCGCCAGCACCGGCACCAGGACCAGCACCAGCTCCGCCTGGGCGGGCACCAGCAGCTGCAGCAAGAGGAGGGGGAGGAGGGGTACTTGCGGCAGTAGCAACATCTGTAGCAGGAATAGCAATAGCAGCAGCAGCAGCAGCAGCAGCAGCAGCAGCAGCAGCAGCAGCAAACGCAGTAGCGTTTGGTAGTGGTCGTGGTGGCGCTATGGTACAAGCAGCAAGAATGATGGTGGCGAGGTATTCGAATACTTCTCAAGCATGATGGCGCGATGGCAGCTAGTTTAAACAAATCCCCCACCGCTGAAGTCCTTGGCTTTCTTGGCCTCTTCTTCCATCTTCTTCCGGTTCTCTTCAGCCTGGCACAAGGGTGCCCGCAAATGAGCTTTAGTGAAAAACTCCTCGTATCCCCCTTACCAACCCCTATCATACTCCCTTATATCATCCCCTTTAAACAATTTAGACTATAGCTTATGTCATACCTGCAGCACCTGCCTCTCTCAAGCACAAAAACCCAAAGTCGTCAGTCCACACCTACAGCTGAAGCACCTCGCCGAAAGGCCCTACACCATAATCCAAGTTGAGTGGGAGCCGAGGGGGTTCCCCGAAAGGGGGATTTGAGGGGATATTATTGGTTATAGAGGGGTTATGGGGCTATATAGGGATAATGTAGGGAAGTCCCTGCCTTCCACCACATCGCACAGCATGCGGCAAGTTCAGGGGGGGGCACTGCCACCTCTGAAAGTGTATAATCCCTTCCCCCGTAAAATTGACCAGCCCCCTACCCTTAATACTCGCATTCCCTACAAGAGCAAGTAAACATGTGTATATATGGTGGTAAGTCTAAGCCCCTGAAAACCCTATAGTCCCCCTTAAGTAGATAGAATATGGCTTTAGGTATATTGGATCCCCATATACCCCACATTCTATCTACTTAAGGGGTACTATAAACCCTAACCCCTAAACCCTAAATAGGAGTTTCCATTTTCTTTTCCATTATCTCTATATAACCCCTATAACCCCCACATCTACTTAAGGGGTACTATAAACCCTAAACCCTAAACCCCATATTCTATCTACTTGAGGGGTACTGTAAACCCTAAAACCCCTAAGGGGCACTATAAACCCTAAAGCCCCTCACCTGTTTCCTTGCCGCTTCAAGCTCCTTCTGGCGTGCAGCCATCCTCTTCTTCTGCTCCTGCTGGGCCTCCAGAGTCTGGTAGGGTTTAAGGTTATATAGAGGTTATAGGAGGCTATAGAAGGGATATATAGAGTTTAGGGTTTAAGGTTATATAGAGGTTATAGGAGGCTATATAAGGGATACATAGAGTTTAGGGTTTATGGTTATATAAAGGTTATAGGGGGCTATATAAGGGATATATAGAGTTTAGGGTTTAGGGCTCCACCCAAACCTGCCACTTGCAGCCTACCGAGGAAGTGTAGCTTGCCAAAATGCTGGAGAGACTTCCACAAAGACACTGGGGAAATCTTGCTACATGAGCCATAGTCCAAACTCCTAGCATCTCGCTTAATACGCCCCAGTAGTCCCCCCTACGATCCCTGATATAAGCCCCTTTAGGGTAGATTATGCCTCATATTGCATAAGATTTCTCTGCAGAAGCCTGTGAGACCCTACGAGATCTCGTTGAAATCCTTTGAAACCTAGAAAACATCCCGGGCTGCCAAAAACCTCATGAAATGTTTGAGGCCTCTAATTGCTCAGGAGCTTCAATTGGAGAATGAAAGTTATGTAGATCTATATAGGAATATATGGGGGTTCCCAAAATTAGGGGTACCTTTTTAGGGGGGTCCTCATAATAAGGATTTCAATAGGGAACGCTTTTGGACCGGGGCCAGCTCAAGGCCTCCGGCCAAAAAGACGCATGTGAGTAGCGTTGTTTTTGGGTGGTCAAACCTAGTAAGGTTATATTCCTTATAGAAAAAACATTATACCCCAAAAGGAGGATANNCCATAATATCCTCAAATAGAATACTGCTCATGTGTAAGCACACATGACGGCTCTGATCGCAGGAGTTGACGTCGTATGGCGTAGTGTCTCGAAAGAAGGGGTTGCTGTAACAAGGACCACAATATCTTGAGTGTCATTACATCACACACTGTCGTCATGGTGCTACGCGGGCCTGAATAATCAGAATCAACCTCTTGAACATGCTCATATGAATACAACAAAACCTAAAACCAAAGAGGGAATCTCTCCAAATTATTGTTAGGATACCTAAGTTTATGTCCAGTAACTTCTGTGTGCGTATATATTATTATTATTAGTAGTATTCTT